GCTTAAATCACCACCCTGAGCCAATGAGAAGGTGGGCGGTCGGGTAGCCTAGTGGTTAAAGCGTTCGCTCGTCACGCCGAAGACCCGGGTTCGATTCCCGACATGGGTACAATGTGTGAAGCCCATTTCTGGTGTCCCCCGCCGTGATATTGCTGGAATATTGCTAAAATCGGCGTAAAACCATACTCACTCACTCAATGAGAAGGTCTGCGTTGATGGTTACGGTTCCTCTTACACAAGCTCACCATTGACTTTAGCTGTATCTTCCAAAAAAGGCTGTGCTTCAAAATAAAACACAAACGTGTGTGGATCTCAAATAGGTGTATTCACAGAATGTAGTGGACGATACAAGAACCAAATGAAATGAATCAAGTCAACGAAAAGGTCTTGATTCTCGTTCTCGGCATTAGTGAATTTAATGCGATGACACATGATTTTGATTTCTAAATTGTCTGTTTTTGTACAAATATACAGGAACAAGGTTCAGTTGCCCCCACATATATATACTGAAAGGCAAAAGAAACGTCACTTCTGAAAATACTGATAGAACTTAACAGACACTGGCAGTTACATGTTCTGTGGTCAATAAACTCATTTAACGTCCTACTGCTTCTTTTTGTTGCCTTAAAGACCATTTAACAATTTAGTTTTAAATGGAGTGCTTTGCCCAAACGCAGCCTACAAAAGTGCAATGGGACTCAGTTGCGGAAAAGTCTTGTCAAAAACATGATGCACGTGCATATCGTGGATGGTATGGGTATAAAAGACACCCAAAACTGTTAAGCTGGCTTTCGTTATTTCGATTCATCAGCCATGCCAAGATTATCAGGAAATGGGAGACAACAAGCGATCGGAAGACTACAAGCAGGCCAGAGTGCACAGGTCGTTGCTAATGCATTCATTGTCAACGTCAGAACGATATATCGTTTGCAACATCGCCACAACACCACCAACACCACCGACGACCGACCGCGTAGAACTGCGTGTAGCGTTCCTGAGGATATGGGCCCATATCCCAATGGCCTTCATCAACAGGCTAGTCCACTCCATGTACAGGAGACGTGTGGCTGTAGTCAACGCCCGTGGTGGCAACACAAGGTACTGATTTTGAACCACCCAGCTGTGATGTCTTCTGGTGCCTCCCAAAATTCACAATTCGCAAAAACATTCCCCAGACTGTTAATTTCATGAGGGTCAAACACTGACTTTCTCCGATGTCTTTCCTTACATATATAAGCATTTGAAAATAAAGATATTTATATGATACATCCACATGACGTTTCTTTTGCCTTACAGTGTATGTACGTCCGTGAGCGCGTTGAAGGGATCCGCACTTGAAAGGAACAACAATCGAGGGCGTGGCTGGAAACAGGAACAATACTGTTTCACCTTACGCTTAATAGCGTCAAACAGCGAGTAATTCAATACGATGTATGCATAACATATAATGTGTACCATGTATATGACACATGGTCATTAGTGAATTGTTGTTTACTATATTCCACATACAGGTGCGTCATTATGACAATCAAAATGTATTTCCGATTAATCGATGTAAAAAAAGTAACGATAAAAGTGGACCCACTTGATCGAATTGACCGATGAGTGCACCAAAGATAAACAATAAGTTTAAGATGGTAGTTATGTAATACTATTACTGGACCATTTGATACTGGTACAACGGATATACTTCGATAAGTCACTGTCACTGACACACACGGTCGACTGTGCGATATCGCACTCGGCTGCGACTCTTCTTGCACGCTGACGTGCTGCCGTGAACAATTACAGATATTGTCTACCTTTCTTGTAATATTCTATACTTGGAGGAGTGGTCTCAAGAGGACCTGTATACCTTGAGTTGTACAAGTTACCTGGTTTTCCATAAGACACCACTATACAACTATACTATACGACAGGATGATTGTAACACAGAGGGGCGGTCGGGTAGCCAAGTGGTTAAAGCGTTCGCTCGTCACGCCGAAGACCCGAGTTCGACGCCCGACATTGGTACATTGTGTGAAGCAATTGTATGGCAATGCACAGTTGATACAAGATTGATAATTTGTTCATTGTCATGCAACTTTGGGGAGATGCGTTCGTGGGGTCCGCGATACAATGTAATTGTTTGTTATTAGCATTCGAGGAGTAGGAGGTCCAGGCATCATCTTATGTAGTGTGTGTGTTACATGATGCTTGACTCTTGAGCTTCCGAGTAAAAATAGTTCTTCCAACCCATGCTTGCCGTAAAAGGTGACTATGCTTGTCGTAAGAGGCGACTAACGGGATAGGGTGGTCAGGCACGCTGACTTGGTTGATGCATGTCGTCGTATCCCAATTGCGTAGTTCGATGCTCATGATGTCAATCACTGGATTGCCTGGTCCAGACTCGATTATCTACAGAACGCCGTCATATAGCTGGAATATTGCTGAGTGCGGTGTTAAACAACAAACAAACGGTCACCAATTGTTATAGTTTGATGATGCATAGACATATTTTACTTCAATTTTTGTTTATATTGTCGTTTTTATAATTTATTATTTTTAGTTGAAATTCTATCACAATTATATATCCATATGCAGGGTCCCTCACCTGATTTTAGGAAAGTGATACTCTCACAATTAGTTTACCCACTGTCGGTAATTAATAAAATAAGAGGCGAAGTATCTAAACAGGTATCTATCTTACACCATTTCTGGCCCAAACAAAACATAGCGAAAGAAGTATAAAATCCAAAATGCAAATCCTTATGAGTGATATGTGCATTTGGCCAGTTACCTTGACATTGAAGGCGAAGGCAATGACGAAGGCAATGACGAAGTCAGTAACTCTAGATCTTTCACTACTACCATTACTGGGACGGAAGTGAAAATTAAGGTGACCTCTCGAAAGAGTATCACTGAAGCTCAGAAAATGAAGTGTTCTCCTCCCTGGAAATTGTCAGAAATATTAAGTTACACTTCATTTGTGACACGAAAGCATGACTAGTTGTAGCCGGCAAATACACGGACGCTGTCGATTAGGGACGCCGTCGGCCATACTGGTGTAAAAAAACATCTTGACGTGACTTAAATTACTGAGGGTTTTAAGTTTAAGGATATCTGTGGCCGGTAACGGATATCACCCCCGCACCTGACAACATTTCCTCCGTCGGAGCATGCCGTGTCCTGATATTTTTGCTTGACTGGACAACAAATTGTCTGATAATATGTTGACCAGGACGTCCAATTTCGGAAACTCTGAATAAGTGACCGCATATCGATTAATACCGAGAAAAGGCTGCTTTTGCCGATGGAGTGTTACACGCGACGAATCATGGCAGTATCTGGTGTCTATTAGACGATGATCTCGCCTCAAACCATTATAGAATATTCTTGTTATTCAGTTTAAATCGGAAACACATAACTGACATAGGTTACGAATCTTAATAAGCCGATTGTTTGTGTAACCTTAGTACTGAATATCTCTTGCAGAGATCGCGTGCAAGCGAGATGGGTGTTATTTGACTGATCGAATTGCTGATGTTTTATGCTTCAATGGTGAACGTAATTTCAATTTAATCCTAACGCAGTGTTCTTGATACATGCTGACTTTTAATTTACGACTCCGGTTGCCGAAATCAACCCTGCCAAAATCAACGCAAGGATTGTCAGCTTAAAAGAAACTCCATCAGCTTCGAATTACATCGCTTAAATATCCAAAGGAATTCATCAAAAGAAATTGATTAATTATATAATTGGATAGCGAAGAAAGGAGAATGTTATTTTTTAAAATCTGAACTTTAAGACTGAACCAAAACATGGAGTTTAAGGTTGCAGTTTTAGTGCAGCACGTGATTGTCAGTTAACATATGTTTTATGTAGCATGTGACAACCGCAAATATATCAACAAATTATCTGTAGCTGCTAGCATATAGTATCAATTTATTTCAGTTTACCGATGTGGTTGCATATTTTTCAATAAGGGTTCATTTTCAAAGTTACCATATATGCATTTTGGGCGGTGGAGATGCCCAGTGGTTAATGCGTTCGCTCGTCACGCCGAACACCCGGGTTAGATTCCCACCATTTCGGGGATCCCCCTCCGCGATATTGCTGGAATATTGTGAAAAGGGACAGAAAACCATCCATCTAATACCTATGGATATTTTACCGAAGGTCTAGTATAACTCACATCTTTAATGTTGAATTACACGGTAGTCAACAATATTCCATGGCAACATGCAACAATAGAGCCTGGACGAGACTGAAAGCATGAGCAACAACCCTCTCCACGTCACATCATTGTAGTTCTTGTACCTTAACCTAGACTTACAATAGTCGTACGACAAGGATTTGGGAATGCTATTGGGTGCGGAAAATACTCACAGGGTGTCACGATCCACCATGTTGCGGAGATACTTACTGCGACTTTATTTGAAGATGTACGTTGTAGGATTAATATATATATATGTGTGTGCTCTTAAACCAGCCGCGACAGCATATATAACTCAATGTTAGAAAAGGAGTATCACCAATCTACCGTTGCATCAGCGTTACACATAATATCACGATCTCTGTGTTTTGCCTTTGTCACGACACATGATATAAACACCATAAACACCATAAACATAACGAAACTTAAGAATACAGCAGTTAGCCGTTCGTACGCAATATCCCAACACGTGGCAATCGTATTCTAAAACAAAATACCAACAACCCCCCCCCCCCCCCCCCCCCCCCCCCCCCCCCCCCCCCTCCCTCTCTCTCTTTCTCTCTCTCCATCCCACCGGTATCATAATGAAAGACATGGTTTTATAACACTCGACGTCACGTGGGTAATCGAACGAATTATAACTGATTTATCCCAAGATCGAATTGAGCCGAGTGGGAGTAATTCAACCGTGCAATTCTATCGACACGCTTATTCGAAGTAATTTAGTTCGGGGTAACGAGATTTGTCTGTATACGAAACAAAACATTACATGACATAGATACACATTTAACAGACGTATATAATACCCAATGTTGCCAACAACATGTACAGAAACTATACAGGAGAACATTTGTATATTTGGTGTCTGAACATGACAATGTGCTACGAATTCGTTAAAATCCAAGCTAATATAATTTTAAGGAACGAGCTCGAGGGCTCAGCTTGTAGATGTGTCTGGTCATCAAACACACTGGAACATGAAATATTGCAACACGGATCTCGACTTACTGTCGAGTAAAATAGAAGTTCATCCACGAAACAATAATGTCAGAAATGTAACTATTGAATAAGCAGTTTAGACAGTTATTTCATAAAATGGTGACTCTATTAAATACATAGTACGAAACGCGATGACCCGACTATATATTCTAAGTGACAGTATAACGTCCAGTTTTTGACATTTTCCGGCAACAGAAAAATGTATCCTTGAAACTCCGTCGAAAGCTGTCTGAAAACAACCAATACAGAAGAGGATTCAAGGCACTGTTGAGATAGAGCATTATGAATGTTATCGGTGGCAAGAGGCTGACATTTGGTCCCGGGAATACTTGCCAGTAGTGAAGGAGAAGGCGCAAGTGATGTGGCAGAACGCAAATGGCGAACGTGGCAAGCACCGCCATAAGCAGCTTAATAACCCGACGTCTCGAGGACAGAGCCTTCCGGGAGCTCATCCGTGTGTTGCGAGGCCTCCTTACCGAGACCCGGCTCCGAACACTGTCCGTGTCTTCACTAAATGTCACTTCACTGTACATGTCCGTGGACACCTCCATCTTGAGCGAATTGGGCGAATCACGCTTGGAAAGTTTGGGTGATTGACGGGCTTGTGTGGAACGTCGGATTTGCCATGGGGACAGGGACCGACTTGTTGACAGGTGTGTCTTATTCTTTTCCTGCCTGTGTGCATGGCCTTTGTCGTTAGGAAGACAGTATCGAACTTTATTTGGAGAACGTCGACCATCATGACAGGAACTGCTGTTCGTACTTCCATTACGAAGGTTTGATTTTAAACCTTTTTCGTTTCTTGTCTCAGAAGAAGAACTATTTTCCGTAACACCTGTATTACACGTAACCTTGGTCACTTCTTTATCGTCGAGATCACTGCTGTGACTGTCATTCAGCCGAACACACGAACAAGGCTTCTTGTGAATGGCATGTTGGTCTTTCTTGTAGGAATCGCTCTCCTTTGATTGAACCAAAGCATTTTTACTTGTGGACCATAAACTTATCGAAATACGAGTGTACACAATCGCCATTACGCCTAGAGGAACCGTATACCAAAGAACAATGTTGACGGTCGCGAGAGCTCGCATTGTAAATATTGAAGCAGTATGGAAACAATATTCACTATATGTACCGTCGGACCCCACCATTCCATGGATGTCGAATATGAATAATAATTGTACATTGGAGATGGAGGCAACTAGCCAGATGCAGACCTGGGCTATTTGAAGTCGAACGCTGGTGAAGAGTTGGCGTGATCGCAGGGGATGCATGATGGCGACGTAACGTTCAATGGCGATGACGGCGAGAAATAACATCGATGCCGTGTAGCTCATGTTCTGGACAAAGTAATAGATCTTGCACATCGCCTGAAAGAAGAACACACATAATCGTTTTAGACTTTTTAAAATTGTCATAAACAAATAGAATTGAATTTGTATGAAGATCTGATTTAAATGAGAGTGTATGCATCTCTGATTAATCAGACTCATACCACATTCACATGAAAAGGGCTGGTTATGGTAGACCATCATTTTTTTAAACATTATATACGGAATTTTTCTTTTTTCTTTTTGACATTATTGTTAAACTACTATTAAACATTATGATATAAACTATGTAGTTTTGAAGATTCTACAACTGTGCACACAACACGTCTCTTGTAAATGTTGTCCTGGCAGGTCACGTGAAGTCGTTTTACGCGAACAATGAAACCACACTAGCTAGGCACAAGATGAATTTAAATTTATTTTATTGAATCATAACTTTGTACAGGAGGTGTTGGGACTTGTTACAATATTTTTTTCTGTCACTTTTTCTAAACAGCCTTTTCTTTCTGTTTGACTGGCATTCAACCACCCCACTAAACATAAATTGTCAATGCAAGAGAATAAATAACCAGTCTGGCATGAACTCCACATTGACCAAGAGAGGAAAGAGCATATGCTCCAGCAACCTTCACATTGACCATGAACTTAATTATCTGCAGCATGTCTCCTCTAACCAAGCTAGTGAAGAGGACCATCTCCAGCACACTCCAGCCAAAAACCCATACCAGAATCCGCACACATCAGGATCACCATACACTACACTGGGAAGACTTTAGATTAAATCAGCAGATTCCTCAAGCACGAAGCAGACATCGATACCATCTTCACTCAACATTCCCTCCAACAAGCAACACCCCTAAGCAGTGATTTGGAAGATAAATTGTGACTGTGGTGACACGTACATTGGTGAAACCTCCCACCCAGCAGATACCCGCATCACAGAACAACACTCTATTTCTCTCAGGCCGAGTGTATCGGCATATGAAGTACAAACAGTATTTTACATCGCGGTAGACAGAGGTTAACCGGAAGTCTTTTTTTACAACTTTCATTGTAATATTAACAAATTTACATGGTTTCTTTTGGACAGAGATCTTATGACAGTTAAATAATTGCTGGAGTTTTAACATATTTGGTCTTTTAAAATAGTGTTTTGGGATGTACAAGTCCCTTTCTTCATTGAAATATTAACATTTGAAGATATAGTGGAATTTATCTCCAATGTAAAAAAATCACCCAACTTGCATAAACGTTCATTCAACGGAGTTTTATTCCATCTTCCGGTTTCTTTTCACAAAAACTAAAACTTTGATAGCAAATTCAGACGGGACATCAGCCCTATCAGACCACCAGTAAAAGTTTCCGAGCCATTTCATTCAGTTTGACAAAGTCTAAATCCCCTCTACCCAACATCAGGACTTCAATTAAAAGAAAACTCTTAGAAGCCATAGAAATCCTGTGATCAACAGCGATCAATGGTTTACATCTCGTCTGCCCATGAAGATCTAATCAAGCGACCTAATCAAGCAATCGACCCTTTTAAATTAGTACCCAATCAGCCTGTTATAACCTTTTAATCCTTATCTGGCTTCATTACCTGTGTGCTATTTGTTATTCATCCAATTATCTGTGTGCTACATGTAAGTGTTATCTGTTACCTGTTGTTATTATTTATCGGACGCTTATCCCAATATATCGTGTTACCACTCCTCTTCACTTGGTTGTAGTCACTCCAGCCTGATAACGATGTAAGAAACTACTTCGAAACGTCGCTAATGCAATAAACCATAAGTTGTTATCCATAAGGTTTTATGTGGTCCTAAACACTTTGTTTGAAAGTAGGAGCTCAAACATATTGTCTGTTGAATGTGAAACACAAAATACTCTACCATAGCTGTGTACATGCCTTCGGTGCTTACGACGCATTATGAATACATGCTTCATTATCAGGGCAAGGATGGAATGGTAGAGAAAGGGTGTCACATGTGCAGGGATGCGTTGCTGAACATGCCAAGAACCACTTCTGTTATCCTGGTATTTGGCATTGTATAACACATCGTCAGTCAGCACCATACCTGTGCTCCTGGATTTCAACCAAACTGTAAACGTTAGCGACTTTTGTCACTTGTGTTTGTTGAGGTCCTCACAATATAACTGAAACGCCAGGGTGTCATTGATCCAACTCAGACATTCTAGCTGACCAATACCACAAGGGGACGCATGTCAAGGAATAATGCCTATAAGGTCATGTAACTTTTTTTCTTGGATCTGGTATTTTCTATGTGCTGTATTATTTTACCTTATGTGTTGCCTTATCGTTTAGATATTAGACTAAACGCTAAGGGCAGAAGACATTAAAAACTGTGGAATATATGCAAAATCAGATTCTATAGGCAAAATTGTGATGGATCACAGAAAATCAGTGATGACAACAGGTGTTCGTGAAAAGGGTAAGCATGTCCTGCTCTACCGTTATCCCCCGCCGCTCACACAATTGTTATAAAGTGAGGTGTGAACACTCCGTGTAAATTAAAGGCATTGGTTGGGATAGTATAGTTAATGAAGATGACAAGCGACATGTCATGTTTAGTCGGGGGGCACGGGTGGCCCAGTCGTCTAAGGCGCCGCGATTCGCTGTGCAGAGTTGCGTCCCTTGGGCACGCCAGAAACCTATGATTGTGGGTTCGAATCCCGGTTCGCTCCGATTATATTTCTAGGTTTGTCAGCACCATACCCGTGCTCGTGGGTTTCACCGAAGTGGTAAACGTCTGAGACCTGCATCACTTGGGGCTTTCCTCCCACATTAAGCTGACACGCCGTGATGTAACTGGAATACTGTTAAAAGCAGCGTTAAATCCAACGCACTCACTCACACTCATGTTTAGTAAAGTCCTCTGATGCTTCACCACTTTGGTTGAAACGACTTATATTGTCCTGACATATAAAGGATCATTATCATGGCGAAGCTGAGATTCAATCATATGATCCCTGCACAATTGGGAGACACAACTCGGAGCACGGCCGATTACGGCATCGTACACGTCTTAGGCACTCCTGCACCATCAGCCTGTATATAACCAAGTTGGGACTAGCAGAAAGGCCGTCCACAGAACGAGCTATGATTAAAGACATCGGCGCACGACAAGACGAAAACAGACATGTTGAGGAGCCTTACCATATAAGGTACCTGTACTTAAATTTAAAACGTGAACACCAGAGGAAATCTGCAAAAACAAAATCCATTGGGCAAGAAAGGAAAAATAGTATAGTAGATATTTTTATGTGGACACTTGTAGGAATGGGCAGGTGATTAAGTCGACTCTTACAACCAGCAATAGGTTTTTATGGGTGTAATCTGGTCCCCATGGGATTTATTATATGCGGGGATAACCATTATTAAAACGTTAATGACAGTTATTTTCCAGTGTTCCATGTCAACATTTCAGGGATGTAGTTACCAACAACAAAACCAACAGCACGAACTTACGATTCTTATCTCTCGTTTTCAATAACTAAGAAAAATATAACTCCTGATATTTCCCCAAACAGAAGTTAGCGCTCAATGACTCTGTGTATCTCTCTTAAAAGGCGATCACGCCCGACTAAATAGAATCCGGAGGTCAGACTCAGTGGCTTGGTCATTTTACACCGACGTCGAGGGACGTTGATCAAACTATCATTTACTGGTCTGTCTGGCCGATACTCGATTATTAACAGGAAGACTTCAGGTGGTTGGACAACAGCTGACTTGGGTGTCAAACAACATTTAAACAAACCTGTTGTGGCCAAAAAAAAATTGTTTAGCTCCTAATTGCACAGAAAATATCTGCGTTTTTTTACGCAGAGAGCGAACAAATATCCTGTCTCCAACAAAAAAACCTTGCCCTCAAATATTAAACGCTGGGTCCCTAAGTATACTTCTCTGACTGTCTACATAACATTTCAGGAATCATTAAAATAAACCTTTGGTGGTGAAACCTTGATTGAAAAGCTTAGTTGTTAGCAAAAAGTGTCTTTCCGTGAAATTTAATGGTGCATATGCTAAAGGACCTAAGCAGACATGTAGACGCCATAAGTTGGAGGTGATGGTATAGAACTCGACATGAAGTGGCAATTCACGATTGGTGAATCGAAATCATCTCTTTTGTCGCACAGCTTGGTACAGAGACTGCCATCATTTTGAATATCTATGTATAGATCCAGATTAGACACTGAATATGGTTTCTCCGTTGTTTCTTTGATTCCCAACTCTGATGGATAGATGAGGTGAAGGAACTCGTCACATCATGCCCCATCGACGCATATCATTAACCTATTGGTTGACTGGCTCGACTGCCTAAAGATTGCCGCGTGTACCTGGGACACCGTTTGGTGTGGTTAAGATTACATATTTCGAGGATCGTGAATACTTGACGTGAGCGCTGATATAGCTCAACCTTCAAATATCGATAGTTGTATCGTTTCATTTATGAACTGAAAAGTTTCAATACAGTAAACTACGGTTATAACGAACTCGAAGGGACCACTAATTTTAGTTCGTAATAACCGTAGTTAGTTATAAGCATATAAACGACATTTATACAACAAATGGTCGGGACTGAAAAATAGGTTCGTTACATCAGTCAGTTCGTTATATGCATGTTCGTTATAACCGTAGTTTACTGTAAATACAAGCTTACGTGTATATAATGTTAATGGAACGTTAATAGCATACGATTTTCAAGGAACTGTTGTAATAATTAGAATATTCGGCTTATATGTGTCGGAAGGATAGGAAGCTGGAACAAAAGTTTGTAGGTTCATTGCGATAAGGTGAAATGTTTCAAACAAACATCTTTAAGTATCTCTACAGCGCTGTGACTTCCCTTAAGTAATAACCGAAAGCAATTACGAATAGACGAGCTTTTGAAATCGGATTTACAGTATCTCCAAGGGATGGTTAGAGATGTCGGGAAAATTGCCTTCACAAGAACTGCTCCCAAACTGAACCGTGTTGATAGTTTAATTACTGCATTAGTATCGGAGACGTGATGCTTTCCAGCTGACGGCAAAGACACATTCTCATAACTCAAACGAGAAAATGATACCTGGTATCATCAGTATCTGGGGCGGTCGGGTAGCCTAGTGGTTAAAGCGTTCGCTCGTCACGCCGAAGACCCGGGTTCTATTCCCAACATGGGTACAATGTGTGAAGCCCATTTCTGGTGTCCCCCGCCGTGATGTTGCTGGAATATTGCTAAAAGCGGCGTAAAACCAAACTCACTCACTCACTCATAAGTATTTGATAATTAAAAAAATGCATTGGTATCGAGGACCGTCTCAATTCAACTACTGACAAGGACACATTCTCATTGTGTGCAGACACACAAACTGAGTTCTAATCTTGGTTCTATCACAATGCCGTAGAAGTCACATACATATATTTCATAATTGAAACATATAGAGGAATACATAAGACAAACTATTCATACTGGCCAGTTTCATATAATGTTTTTAGCAATAAAATAAGTCACTGGGTTAAAAACTGGTATATGGTGTATGGTGTATCTTCAGGATGTCAACGTAAATACATACCTCGAATGTGTAAATAACTCGATTCTGACTGTTAAATCAGAGGTATCAAATCACAATAACCACCTCTGATTGAAACAGGTGCGCGTTTGGTTCCAAATTCAATTTGGCGCTGTTAAAATTACAGGTAACATAGTCCTTCATTGAAAACACAATTTGTTTATCTCCTAATTTCCTTCACTTCAGCACTACACTGACCATTGACCATACTATAGGGGCTTTCTGGCGTCAATTCCCCAATGGGGACGAAGTGTGAATCCCACTTTTGGTCTCTGTATTGGCTTCTAAGTGAGCTATAAATCCACCATTAGTAACGGCTTTCAAAACAACAGATGAAACACCACCAAACGAATTATGCCATTGTCTATGCCATTTACACTGAATATGATTATGTTGACATCTGTAATTTCAAAGAGTGAGAAAAGGCAATTCACTTTTCTCGATAAATATACTTACTGAAGAAACATCATACGCGCCAGTGTTAATTGCTGTCCCATAATCCATACAGTAATGACATAAAATCACCTGATATAACTGTCTCCTGGAATCCTCACGGAGCCTATGGCGTTATAACTATCGCGCTAAGTCATTATGATTAAATGCGAGTGGAGAGTGTTAAAAGCTGTTAGATTGTAAAAAGGGTCTTATGGCTGAGCATTAGTGATAAAACACATATCTCCGGAGGCTGATTGTATCCCTTAACGTCACAACTGTACAATAAAATAGGGCTGCTGTTGTTGGCTTATAACACCCCAGCTACGGCGTACACCTGATGCCAAGAGTTAATTATCGCGTGGAGAAATGCAAGATATTGCTTTCCATACATGTATCTATGCAGCAAGAGCGCGCCAGCCTATTATTATTCACCGATGGTCTGGATGTTTTACCACATCTTGGGATAGTAAAATAATGAACCTTTTGAACCAGTATAATTGTACTCACTTACTGGAAATCAGATAGGGTGTTAAACGCTGTGTTAGGTGTATTAAAAACGTCTTATTTCAAGAGGATGCAGTTAATTGGCACACTTCGCTTTGGAATGATACGGGTAATGTAAATGGAAATAAGTTACGTACTTACAGAAAGTATAAGTGTACACCTTCTGTTGATTTCTATGTTAAAAAATATTTTGTAAAGAGACCACCGCCGTATTTTAGCCAAGTTTAGATGTGGAATTTTACCTCAGTTTGTTGAGACAGGCAGATATTCCAAGCCCCCTATACCACTATCGGAAAAGTTATGTAAATATTGCAAATGTGATTTGGTGGAAGATAAATGTCATGTTTTACTACAATGCAATTTTTATGAAGATTTACGGCATGATTTATATTGTGCAGCTAAAGAAAACAACCGTTATTTTTATGTGATATGCGAAGAAGAGAAATTTATTTACTTAATGAATCTTTTACAAAAAAACGCTTTTAAAAATGTTGAAGAGACGACAGTCGTCGCCATGATTATTAAATTACCTCTCTCTCTACCTATCCTTTCTTTTTCTTTCGTTGTTGAATCGAGGAGTTTGTTATTGTTTCCTGTGAGTCTTTTGATTTCGTAGCTTAATTTCCCAAATCTCACATTATATATATTATGTATATATTTTGTATTGTATATTGTATATATATTGTATATAGTGTCTCATGAGCCAATATCTGGCTGGACGCACTCCAAAAACCTTTTATCTTATTACATCGATTTTGTATTGTACATGTTGTGCGTGTGACACTTCAATAAACATTTTACTACTACTGTATGGAATGTGAGCAGTTACGTCTTAACTGTTGTTTACATTGCTGAATGCGTACTGGATTAATATTATTAGCAGTTTTATCTGGACTTGAGTGAGTGAGTTCGAGGATTTGTTGCTTTTATTTCCTTATGTGGAGTATCCTTACATCGAAACGTCGCTCTTAATTGTAATAAAGAAGTTGTTCATCCATAAATTCTCATCCTTACTTAGGACTCCAACTTCTAAATGCCTATCAAAGAAGTTACTAAGGTGGAGTGATATTAAGTTATATTAGTTTTATTAAATTATATTAAGTTATATTTAGATTTCTTTTCGGAGACTCTACTTATTCTACGACGGCAGTTAAACAGTGAAGCATGTACCAACGTTATCATTACGGTGTGGATCATGACTGAAATGGATTCCGGTGTGTCGAGGTTATAATCCTATTTTGATTACGTATAATCAACGTTTTGTACAGTAACAAATATCGAAACGTTAAGAAAATAGACATTTTGAAACACCGCAGCATTGACATAGTACTTACACGTCCAAGACGCCACTTCGGTGAGAGGTTGACGGACAGGTTTGGTATGATACATAAGATGCCTACAAGAAAGTCAGCTACTGCTAGGTTGGCCAGGAAGAAATTAGTCCGTGTTCTCATCCTCTTGTTCTTGATGATGACGATCAGTACTGTCACATTCCCTGAAACATATACGTGAGTTAAGAGCGGGAATAATCACTTCTTCGAACAGGATGTCTTAGCATGCTCCGTATAATATTTACATTTACGATATTAGTGAAACCAAATAGCACTTTTATGACGCTGACAGATCAAGGATAATAATCGGCGCGACCAGACATACAATGAGGCAGAACAGTGAGTAAATAGAATCATTGGGCCATCCCTTTGAGACACAAGATCAGATTGTGTGCATGCGTGCGTGCGTGCGTGCGTGCATGCGTGTCCAGCATAAAAAAACGTTCGCTTCATATATTGTATACATGACATGTGTGGGAATACCGGGTATCAAAAGGCCCCACGAAAACCACGCTTGTCAAAATATTCGACAAAAAACATCATCTTCTGGTCTGACTTGGGGATTTTAAAATCAGATGCAAGTTAGCATACTGTAAATACGTAGCTCACGGCTCTCATGTTTCATTCCTAAATTAATCTATACCCGGAATGCTATGCATCAGTGTGTTCTCAGACACGGAAGTAGGTTTCTATAAACTGATATTAGCGAATTAAGAGTAATTATAGCAGCACTTCCGACACGATGCCATACCGGCTTATCAATTTTTAATTGACTTATTCGGCTGAACAAACATGCCTTGGCTAAACTTGTTTCGTCAAAACTTGGGCACGCCACTAATCCTGTTTTTAAGCACTGTCAGAATTAAGAAGTAAAAAAAACAACATTTATTAAGTCAGTGGATATCTGGCACCCACCTTCCTGAAGTAAGCCCCAAAAGGAAGCAAGCAATTCTTTGCGTGGCAGCAATGTGCTAGTCAAATGTCAATGAAAATATACTAAATCTGCATTCGATCGAATAGTTCGCAGAGCACGCCATTTCACAATTATGCGGCGCGTATGATTTAGCCATTTATACCAGTCGCAGAGTCTCCCCATTCTTCAATGTCTTAAAAACTCTGTGCGTCTCGGTCTTTAGAAAATCAAAACAAATTTTAGAAACTGACAAATCCCATTGTGAAATCCAATGTTCTATCAAAATGTCAAACGCATCCTAAATCAGGTTGATAGTTGATGGGTAATATCGATCCATATTCCACGTAAGGAAAATATTGTTCATCCATTGTTCATTATGAAATAGATGTATGGACTAAATGCATTTATTAGGTTCTAAAATGTAACCATCGGTTTTGACAGCAAAAGGACATAATGCTATAAGAGCTAAACTGTGTCTTTCTCAGTCCAGTAGTAGAACATGATGTTCAGTATATCATCAGATTTGAGATTCCCGGTAAATGATTGTGTTTGTCAGCATCTTGGAGGTCATTAGATATAGTGCCTATGAATGTGTAGTCAAGTATCGTTTCTTGGTTATATACCCCACGTCCTGCATCAGACTCCCTGTCTCAAACGTCACTGCGCTGTTTACAGTGGCTGGCAAAGCATACAGCGCGTCTGACATGTTTTCCACTGGATAGTAATTACACCTAAAGGCGATTAAGATGCCTGGGATTTGTGAATATTTAATGGTTTATCAAAGTGTCCCATATTTTCGCAGACTTATTTTAGTCTTTGAACAATATAACCTTTGTAACTTGACGTATCTATAATCTCATCTCTGGTCGAAAATTGACAGCGAAGGACAATGATTGATGGCTTTGGACGTGCATTAGACCACAAAATAGCCTTGTAATTGTGCTTGTCAAATGGGGTTGAAATCCTCTTAAGGGAGAAAATGTTTCCGGCGATCTTACGCATGAGGGTAGTCGTTACGTTGTGTGAATGTGGGACACGTACACCATGGACACATACAGTGTAATTCATAGTATGGTACCAACAAGGTGTACAATATATGCTGTAAAGTGTAAGGGTAAAAAATATAAAAGCGATGCCAAATGTCAGACGAATCACAGTTTTTGAATACGGCTTTTGACAAATTACTAAACTCGGCCATGAAAACGTACATCGGCTCCCAAGGGTCTCCTCAGAAAGGCATATAGTTCATTCAGTACACCAGTACTGGGGGACCAGTTGTAATCATTTCTATCTGAGTAAGTGATTAGCTTACTCGCGCCCACAAGTCTGTATTACAGTCACAATGTCAATAAATATAATATCTTGTCGAATTTGCTATTTGTATATTGTATTAGAAAATGGCAGTCAGAGGATCATCAATTATGAACACAGACTGTAGGTACATATTTAGCTCCCACGTCCACTTAGCCTTACATTGGTATTAAGGTACCCACCGTCCGCATCCTATAATTACAGTGTGCTAAGACCTCATGATCAGTCACATGTACACATACGTCAATCCCAGAACTAACGAGATTTCTAGACGTATAAACACATGATAGCTGGAGATATTGCTGTGACAAAGCCATTTGCCTAATGGTTTGGGAAGAAAGCTCCACAAATTACCATTTGAATTCGTTCGTAAACAGTATGTAACAAGACAAAAATAGCACTAATAAATGGCATTATCTTAGTCATGGTGAGTTAGTCAGTCGAAAACGACATCCACGATATATCCCATCTACTTTCTGTAGAAATAACACTTTCTGTTGAAAAATATCAAATTGTTAAGAGCTTTTACTTGTTAATATTTTATATATTTTCTGCCTGTTGTTTTTATGGTGTAATCCAGAAAATGTGTTGAAATTAATAAAAGAGGCTGGCATTTAGCATTGTAGAGATTCCTTTCATGGTTTAATTCTCCGAACGCCTACTTTACTTTTTATACGAACATTTTTATAGAAGTATAATCTAATATTGTGGGCGGTTGGATGTCGAGTCCTTGTAAGATCTTGAAAATCATGGGAAAAAAGAATTTGCCCTCCTTGGGATAATATTAGTTGATGTCATTATGACCGAGAGCTGCAGGACGCACACGGGACATGACACAGACAATGATGCCAACGGCAGACAACTAATAACTAGCGTTCGGTATTCTAACATTACCAAGCATTGCCTGCCTAATTATACGAGATCCCAATGAGACGTCGACTCTCCAGAGTGCATAGGCATTTAAGATGTTACGTCTTTACAATAAGTGATGCTTTCTTGTACAGGAAGGAATATACTATGTGGGAGATTTACGACGTGCGTCTTTGGAAACGTGATGGCTGAGTCTCATTACACTGTTTTCAGACGTGGGGCGTCTTGGAGTGTTTAATTTATTGGCGCGGAGATATGTGAAATGAAAGTTGTGTGTATTTCATGGCCTTTAAGGGCAAAGAATGACAGGACACCCGCCCCTTGGAAAGAGTGAAATACTTTGATCTCAACAGACAACAACGTTAGAACGTTATGATGTATTTCTTCTCACAACGGTTCTGGCACTTGGCAGTTGTTGAAACGCCAATAAATTCCGACCATGAGCAGAACATCGAAGAGTCCCAAAGAAAGAGCTAATTTATTGCCTTAGGCACATTTACACCAAAGCTAAACGGACCGTAGTGTATGTCTAAAACACGAAAGACCGTCTGACTAATTCCGACAAATATCAAATCAATACATCGATTGAATTATCGCCAAGCTTGCAGGAAGTCATCTATAACATTATACAGACGGTATTCCCACAGAGGCTGGACGTCTCTACAATGTATGTCTAATGATTATATTTGATAAAATCGATAAAGGAAAGATACCAACTGATGGTAGTCGTGTTACATTATTCATGTTACATACAGCTTCACTGGATGTCGTCAATAGGAATTATATTTGAAAGTGATATTTTAATAGGCTCTGTTGAAATTACCACGGTTTTTTAACATACTACATCGTTTGAAAACTGTATAAATATATCATACCTCCTTGTCACATGTTTTCGAGATTCACGGGTACCTCTGTTCGAGCCCATAAACAATACGTGACCACGTGCTTAAACACGTAATCAAGGTAGACGCTTCAAAGCCCACTGAAGACCTCAATGTATTCGCCACTTGCCGCTGAAGTTATGTTACAAATTAAGCTACATTAGGTATCATATTCAACAAGTAATGAAAACATACCTCAAACTTACTTACTTTTTCACTAATGCACATCTGAATCAAACTTATTTTTGCATCAGAACAATCGAATGCACCAATGATTCATCGGCTGCTGTTTGTAAGCATCCTGTCTGTAATGTCATGTGACTGATCATGTTGTGCAACTATTTTTTAAATTAACTTTAAAGTAATGGAGGGGCTCGAAATCACGTGACGATGACAAGATGGCGCCTGAACGACTTGTTTCGCTGTGCGAGGCATTATCACTATAAAATTTTGAAGACATGGTCATTTGACCATCGAAGTGTTGACCGCCTCCGTGGCCTAGTGGTAGAGCGTCACACCAAAAGACGTTAAAAGATGGTACTTGCTGTTAACCTATATAAGTGGCTTAAACTAGGACTGGTCAGCACGGAGTCTGAGTTGGGTACTCATGCGACTTAGCCCTATGAAATCGGCAGTAGTCCGGACAATCACACCCACTCACACGCACGTGCATGCACGCCGCTGTATAAATGCAATAATCTTGGACGCGACATTGAACCCCATTTCACCTCACCTCACCACCAAATATTCTCAAACGTAAGACTATAATTTTGTGTGAGAGGATTGTTATTAAACACGTTATCAGAAATACTTCTTAGGGGCTCGGAAACACAGGACGCGAGGATCCTCTACACTGATTAAATTCAATACAGCAAATGTCGATGATCTCATTATTGATTACGTTTTTATACAAATAATTAAGTTACTAGGTAAACTCATCACATAAATAAACGGCGACAAAAACATTATTGAATCGTATTGAGTAAATTTAGAATCATTTACATTAAATGCTGGCTCAATGAGATACAAAGAGGCAGCTCATTAAATAAGCCTTAGATTAGAATGGGGACACCTATGTCTTCATGTTTATATGTACATACATGTATACCGCAGTTTAATCATTCGTCCAAGACGCTGGAATTCACTGTGGAGAGTTCATCCTTTAGGCGGGCCAGAATGAATCAGAGTA